CCTCCCCCCGAGTGGGGGAGGGAGGCCGGGGAAGGGGAGCGATTCATGCAGTCGCAGCTCGCGCGGAGTTAGTGCGGCAGTGTGTACTGTGTATATTGGGATTATTTCTCCAGCAGATTTGGGTTTGCTTGAAGTCCACTGACCACGGTGGCTGTTTGCGGGGAGCGGGCCCGGGCGGTGTCAGCAGATAGCTGTTCCCCTACACAGGCAAGCCACAGACATGGTGAAACGGTGTATTACTGTAATATGGCCGACCAGCCGGGGAAAGACCCCTTTCTGTAGGAATGCGATTAAAGAGGCTTCTGTGTTTTAAGGTGTGCCGTTACGTAGTTTCGGAATTCGGATCGTCCTTAAATTCCTCGCCCTCTTTGCTCTCACCGCAACGTTTTATAGAAAAACTCGCCCTTAACCTTGCTCTTCCAGACCATGAGCACACTTTTTATTAACTATAAATGGAAGTTTGCCATGTTTCTCAAAAATGCTCATCTCACCTTAGTAAAAAAAAATCCGTTCCTATCAAATAAGTACCGGAAGCACAAATCTCACCGGAAGTCTGAGCCGAACTATAAGCGAAAATGCCACAACTTCCCTATGGCCACCGCCATTCTGTCTGAACTAGACTTTTTGTTTCTCCAAACTATATGGTAACATAACGTCAATGTGACATAACAATTCACATTTATTGGGCATGCGTCACGAATGCGTGCCCCTCGGTATTACCGTTATGAAAGTTGCCCGAATCGGTGCGCCCCGCTGGGGGGGGCAGAATCTGCCCCCCCTCCCGTTTTTCGCCAATAACTTCTATACGCGTTACGCCAGCGACATCAAACTTTCAGTACCTTATCATACATCAATTTGACACGCTCCCTGAAAATTTGAGCGAAATCCGTTGGAAAATTTTTGAGAAATTGACGTTTTAGTGACGTCATGTTCGCCATTTTCGCCTCAAAAACGGCAAAATTTCAAACGCCGCTAACATCTTCATTTTTAAAGGAATCAAGACGTAACAAAAAAGGTTATACGAGATTTTACTTTGTCTATCAAATGGCTATCTCAGTTTTTTGAAAATTTTGGATTTTGGCCCAAATTTTTCCAAAAAACTGACTTTTTTGGGAAAATATTTATAAAATCCAAAATTTTGGGTTTATCGAAAAAACCGGAATTTATGTCAAAGAACTGGTCTATGTGCACCTACATACCAATTTTTAGAAGAATCGGTTCAAAAATGTGGGAGTTATTCAAAATTTTATGACGTCACGACACACAAAATTTTTGAAAAATGATTTTTTTTTGAAGTTCTAGACCTCGTACGGAAACAAAAATAGCACCATTCGATTCTCCGTGAAAAACTGCATCGGATAGACACCTTTTTAGGCCTTAACAACCAACTTCAAAATTTGACCTCACTTGACCTGACCTTGACCTGACCTCGACCTGAAATTCATCCAGAGGTGGTCCATATCACTTATTGAGTGTTCCTATTGAATTCCATGAGTAAAATGACCCATAAAACATGTGTCGCACATGCCCTTTTCTATATTTTGTTTTTGGTGACCTGACCTGACCTGACCTGACCTTGACCTTGACCTTTGAATGACATTGTGTGCAACGAATATTGTCTTGGTAGTCTAAGAACACGTTTTGGGCAATCAGTCTCAGTCCATTCTTCGGCAACTACGGTGCAAGGCCGATACTGTAGAAACTTGCATTTTGTACCCTTGACCTGACCTTGACCTGACCTCTGACCTACTTAAGCAAAAAAAAATTGGGCTCCTAAGATCCGCCTTGTTGAGAGCTTTCGATTGCCGTTTTCCCCGTCTTTCTACGACCATCGGTTCGGAAGTTAGACAGGGGGGGGCAGAATCTGCCCCCCCCCCCCAGCAGGGCGCGTATGGCTGAATAGCCCAGCGGGGCGCGGGTTAAGAACTTTGCAATTTAAAAATTTAACCCTCGCCCGTGGACGGCATTTCGCCATCCTTTCCAGTGTACGACCCCTTCTGCCGTTTCGAAACGCGTCGTCGTAGAGCTTAGCGGAAAAACAGCGTATTGCTCTCGACGAGAGCTCGCAATTGCGCATATTACTTTTGAACATAGGTCAATATTTGACCTAGGTTTGGCAGGTTAAAGATCAAAGTTCGGGAAAATCGGCATTTTTAACTTTGCGCGCCTGTAGCGTCGCCGCTATGGCAGATATCGTCATGGAATTTTCACCATCGTATTTCTGGATGAATTTGGTGCATTTTGGTGAATAGTTTGTCACATTTTACGCGATAGCTTCCGGGGCAGAGCGCCCGGAAGCCGGCGGGGTCGCGTTCGCGCCCCGGGTGGTCGAAAATGCCGTCTGACAGTTGGGGTCGGAAATGTGATCTAACCTGTCGGCGACTTCTCCTTGACCCTGAGACGCTCAATAAACCAAGTGCCCGAGCTTTATTTGGTCGTCAGATTCGAATTCAGGGCCAACAATTACCGCCGGAAAGTCAAACTTCAAGAGGTCACCAGAGGTCACTGACCTGAACTAGACCTGACCTGACCTTGACCCTACATAGGTTAATGGAGGGTGTGTCTTCCTTTTCATCTTTTGCACAACCGTTTTAGGAATCCTCAATGCAAAAGATGTCGAAGCCGGAACCGTAGTCGGTCGGAGTGAACAGTTTTATCAGTAGTCGGAGTCATTCAAAATTTGTCGAAGCCCTGGGTGCTGATAAAACTCTCGCTGTCAATGAATTGGAGTTGACTTATTCATTGTTAGAGGGAAATGACTGCAATAGAGGAATGACTGCATGCTAGTAGCACCTACGTCTAAAAACGAAGCTTAACAGTTTTTCAAATAATAAAACAAGACATGCCAGGAGCGTCAGCTATATATTTCTTCAACATTCAGCTCCTAGCTCGCACTAATAGTTCAGACGTTTCAAGCCCCCTGAATATCACATCACGAAAAAACAGGCATCAGCCTTGTCACTGAGTCACATATCTTGCACACTAATCACATGTAGGTAATATAAGTAAAATTTATAAACAAAACACTGTTCTACATAAGATGACAAACAGAACGGTTTAGTAGGAGGTGTGGCCGCCCGCTGCCTCGGAGCACTGCTCCAGCCGCTGCCTCATCGAGGCCACCAGGCTCCGGAAGTAGCCGGGGCGGCGGCGGAGCTCCTCCCAGTTCGCCAAGACGGCGGCCCAGAGCTCGTTCTGGTTGAGCTGCCGGGCCGGCTGGCGCAGCTCCTCCACCAGCTCATGAACCATTAGAGACCACACATTTTCGATAGGGTTCAGGTCTGGGCTCATTGAGGGCCAGGGGATGGCACGAACCTGCGAACAAAATCATGTTTGTTACTCACTGTAACGTGATATAGGTTGACACATCGGTCATGACTATGAAGCTGTATGGTGCAACGAATAACACCTGTTGGAAAGTGTTTGATCATTACTGAGCAAATTTTGTAAGGCATCTTAAGAACTTTTTAAATAATTGTTTAAGTATCTCAATAAGTTTATAACAGGCGGGGACGAGGCGACCAGGCGCAAAGCGGCCTCCCGCACATAGCCGTAGGCCTCGCCTCCTCTAATTGGGATGCATTGCTGTTGGGGTGAAAAATGAATAAACAGATAAATAAATAAACAGCATCTCAAATTTTTTTAATAATGCCATCAGGTCACCGGTCACCTAGCTAAACCATACCACAACTTAATGCCGCCCCACACTGGACCTCGCATGCGGGTTTTGAGTTTGCGGGCATAATTACGAGCGAGCGAGCGCAGCGAGCGAAGCGAAGTCTTTTCAATATAACGGAAAAATCTCAGTATGAGCGGCCCGGCCCGGCCCGGCCTGTAACGCTTTTGAGAGGCTTATATCTCAGCAACCGCTGGACCGATTGGCCTGCGGTCTTTTTTGCTGGGTAGCCCCATCCCTTCTACCCCGTAATTGACTACTTTTGATACATCTCAGTGACCGTCGTGGCACGTGCCACGTGAATAGTCAGGGGTGTTCAAGTTGTTTTGCAAAAGCAGTGATTTTGAGAGGCTCATATCTCAGCAGCCGCTTGGGCGATTGTCTTGCGGTAATTTTTGTAGGGTAGCTGCATCCCTTCTACCAAAGGTCGGATACTCTTGATCTATGTGAGTGAATCCCACTACACGTGCAAAATACAAAGAGAAGAGGTGCCACATTTGTTCCCATTTCAATAACTCGGTAATTACTGGGGCGATTTCGCTGAAACTTGGCATACAGGTAGGCACCCACCAGGCAATGCATTCCCATGTGTTGCGGTTAGGGTGATACTGCACGTGCGCACGTGCAGGGGGCGCTCCCAGATCTCGAGAACGGCTGGGCCGATTACGCTCAAATTTGGTACACGGTTGGGGACCGGTTAGTAGGGTGCCGTGCAGAAGTCAGTTTGGACCCTGTTTGCACGTGCGCACGTGCAGAATGCCGCTTCCAGATCTCAGGAACGGCTGGGCCGATTGCGTTCAAATTTGGCACACGGCTAGCGACCGGTTAGAAGGGTGCTTTGCACAAGCCCGTTGGAAGTACCCTCTCGCCCTTCCGCACGTGCAGGGCTCACTATCTCTCTCGCTCGTTGTTCGCCCAAAAGGCGTTTTACTGGTACTAACTCATAGAGTAATTAGACCGTACCCTCATGGTCACTTCATGAATACTGTGAAGCCGGTACACCTTCAGAAAGCTACCTACATATAGTCGCAACACCAGCATGAACGAACCAAAATTCGACTCCAACGAAAAACCCGCAAACTTCGTAGAGCTTGCAGACCTCGCAGCGAGGAAAATCGAAAGTTGACTCAAAATCAACTTTTGGAATGCGATGCAAGGTAGCTCTGAAGCTAAAAACATGCAGACTCGCTTGTTAGATAGTAGTGTGGGTCGCTCAGCTGGATATTATTATTTGATTTTGAAGAAACCCGAAAACCCAAAAACTCGCAACCCGCATGCGAGGTCCAGTGTGGGGCAGCCTTTAGAGTTAGTGTAGTGTCGTCCTGCCGTCCTCGTCCGCCACTCACAGTCACGTCTTCTCACATAGACGATGGTATTGAACTCAAAGAGACATAACAAAAGATATGCAGGACAGCGCGCTCCGCGCCTCTCAGCCCCCGGCCGGCGACTCCCGCCCGGCCGCCCGGCCGCCGCCCAGCCGCCCAGCCGCCCAGCTGGCCAGTCTGCCCCTGTGGCATGCTGTGCCGCCGCGAGCGCCCCACCGGGCGGGCGGCCCAGACACTACATCTTTCCCCCCTACACAAAGGTACACCTACGGACACCAACGCACAGGTGCACGAACACGTCTCCTAGATCGCGTGCGGTGCCCATCACTCTGAGCACCCTCGAACCCGGAGCCGCTCGTCTCACTGGCCGGCGAGCGCGTCGCCGCCGCTGTGTCCACCGCGGGTGTCGCAGATGGTGAGCCCGGCACGTCGGGCTGACGATCCGGCCGCCGCTCTGGAGTCTGTGCCGCCGCCGTGGCCTCAGCCGGAGGCTCGTCGACCGGCTCCGGCGGGGAGCGGACGACGGGAAGATCCGAGAGCTGCGGCTGCTCGGCGTCTCCCAGTCCGGTCGGAGGCGACCCAGTCCAGCGAATCAGCCTCTCGGCGTGGACCAGTGCTCCACTGTCCAGCCGGTACGCCGATGGTCCAACCAGCTCAGCGATCCTGTGAGGAGCAGAAAAACGGTCTCTACCTTTCCTGGGCACAGGCATGACACGGTACCTCACCCAATCACCGACACTGAATGACGGTTTGACAGATCGGTTCCTCCTGTCCCAGTACGCTTTCTGCCGCCTCTGCCGTTTAGCGACACGGTCCCTGGTACGGGCACTGTCGGCCGCTACCTTACCCGGAGGGTGCGTGGGTGCATGCAGCATCGTCCGGAGTTGACGACCATGCAGCATCTCCGACGGACTCAGGCCGGTGGTTGCATGAGGCGTCGAACGGTACGTCCACAGGAACTGGCGCACCGCCTGTGACCAGTCCTGCTTCTCTTTGGACGCCGTCTGCAGCGCGGACTTCACCACTCTGTTCATGCGCTCCACCGCTCCAGCGCCTCTGGGGTGGTACGGCGTTACCCGTACATGCTGAACGCCGACCCTCCGCAGGTAAGCCGTGAATTCTGCGGACACAAAAGCCGTACCGTTATCAGAGACCACCTGTAACGGGTACCCCTCCCTGGAAGCAACCACCTCCAGGAAGTCGATCGCCGCCTCCGTCGACGGGCTCGAGCAGAAGCCGACCTCTGGCCACTTGGAGAAGTAGTCCACCAGAACGATGGCGAACCGCTGCCGCTGTCCTCCGCCTTCCATCGGCCCGATGAAGTCGATCCCGACCTTCTCCCACGGTCCTTCGGGCAGCGGTACAGGGTGCAGCGGAGCGTTCCTCGGAGTAGCCGTCTTGTCGGAAGATGCACAAACCTCGCACGCTCTGACCATCTCTTCCACCGCTGCATCCAGTCCAGGCCACCAGAAGTGCTGCCTGATCCGCTGCTTCGTCCGGACTATTCCTTGATGTCCCTCGTGTGCTGCTGCTAACAGACGCTGTCGGAGGCTGGTCGGCACCAGCAGACGCTCTCCCCTGACCAGGACATCGTCTACGGCTCCGAGCTCCTCCTTGAAGCGGTAGAACGGCCTGAGAGCTGCCGGGCAGTCTCGGTACCGCCTCGGCCACGGACGAGGGATCTGCTCTGCCAGCTGCTGCAGCTGAGGGTCAGACCGTGATGCCAACACCAACTCCTCCCTCGTCACCGCCTGTAGATGAGCTTCAACTGCTGCCACGGTGATGCTCTCGTCATCAGCTGCCTCCGTCACAGGTGCTGGCAGACGCGACAGTGCGTCAGCAGTGTTTTCGCAGCCGCCGGTGGCGTCCTGGCCTTCCGGCTCACTCAGGTGTACGTCAGCTTCTTGCTGCTGCTGAACTGGTGCTGCTACCTCCACCAGCCGAATTCTGTGAACCTCTGTGATGCGGGGAAACGAACATCCTTCATGTTCATCTGACTGATCAGCTACAGCACAAACCGTACTGCCATGCACTACTGAGATCTGGAGCAGCTTCTGCAAGTCACGGCCCAGCAGTGCTACCGATCCCTCCACAACGTACAGCGAGGCGGGCACAGACAGACCACGTGACTCAACATCACACTTCAGCATGCCAGCAACAGGCAACTCGGCACCCCCATAGGACTCAAGTCTGACTGGCGCTGGCTGTAGAGGTAAGTTACCAAACTGAGCCTGATACTGCTCCAACGGCAAAATGGAGACACCTGACCCACTGTCCACCATGAATTTCAGCCACTTGCCTGCTACCTTCAGCTGGATGTACGGACGAGTGTCTTCAGTTGGAGACGTCACTGCAACCGACAGCACTTGGACGCTGGCGACGGGCTTCTCTCCAGCAGTCTTCTCCCCCTTCTTCGGGCAGCATCGCCAGAAGTGGCCAACCTGGTGACAGTCGTGACATACGGCGACACGTGCAGGACACCGCTCATCTGTACTCCAATGACCCACACGTCCACAAGCAAAACAGGTACCAGCCCGCCCTCCAGAGGGGCTTACCTTCCGTCTGGAAAGTGGAGTCATACTGCGCGTGCCGTGAGCGTACCGCTTGGTGGCCGTTGCTGCAACGCTGACCGGTGCCTGCTCCCGCTCTGCAACTGCAGCCTGCAGGCGTCCCACCGCCTGCTGTCGCTCCAGCGCCTGGTCCTCTGCAAGGGCAATAACCTCCAACCGAGGCAGAGTCAGATCATCCTCCCTGCAGAGACGTTCACGCAGACGAGCAGACGAGCACCCCTCTAGGAACTGGTCCCTGATCATTTCGTCTTCAAGGGCCCCAAACGCACACCTCTGGCTACGTTCTCTCAAGTTCGCCAAAAAGGTACGAACAGTGGTTTGGCCCTGGGTGCATTTGCGAAACAAAACTCTCTCGGTGATCACATCTGACTTTTTCTCAAACAAACGACTCAATACGTGAACAGTGGCATCGACCAGTGACATTGTAGCCGCACGCCCCTCAAACTTTGGCTCAACACCGCCCTGACTTGGGACCCCTGTTGGGCACTCCGCCCTGAACAGCCTCCTGGCTTCCTGTCCCACACAATGGAGAAGCAGTGCCTGACGCCTCTGCTCTCCCCAGTCAGTCCATCCAATGGCAATGGCATACACTTCAAAATCTGATAGCCAAGCAGACCATGACGTTAGCGGCTTGCCCGGGGTGGCTAACAAGGGAGCTGGCGGACGTATCCCCTCCATCTTAGCCGACTGCACTGTACCTTAAAGCTGGGAGAGTCGCAAATCCTTGTCGCCAAAATTGTGTAGTGTCGTCCTGCCGTCCTCGTCCGCCACTCACAGTCACGTCTTCTCACATAGACGATGGTATTGAACTCAAAGAGACATAACAAAAGATATGCAGGACAGCGCGCTCCGCGCCTCTCAGCCCCCGGCCGGCGACTCCCGCCCGGCCGCCCGGCCGCCGCCCAGCCGCCCAGCCGCCCAGCTGGCCAGTCTGCCCCTGTGGCATGCTGTGCCGCCGCGAGCGCCCCACCGGGCGGGCGGCCCAGACACTACAGTTAGCAGCCATGATAGGTTTATGATGCCACTTACTGAGTCTGCGTGGTCTTCGGACCACTGCTTGACTGCCCTCGCTGTGTGGTTGTCTTTCATTAGAGTCCAGGGTCGCTCCTCGTCGGGGCGCATTTCCTCCACGGAGGGCAAAAACAACCTGCCGGAGTAGTAAAGACATATTTAACAACAATGAAAAAATGCACATGTTCACAAGGGCATACAGTCAACTCAATTAGTGACAACTTAACCAACGTGGTTTGTGACAATAGAGCCAATGCATTTAGCACACTGGTTGAGTTGTCACTGGTTGTCACTGGTTGTCAATGGTTGAAATGTCGCTGGTTGAGTTGTCACTGGTTGAGTTGTTACTAGTTGAGTTGTCAATGGTTGAGTTGTCACTGGTTTAGTTGTCACTGGTTCAGTTGTCACTGGTTCAGATGTCACTGGTTGAGTTGTCGCTGATTGAAATGTCACTGGTTGAGTAGTTGTCACTGGTTTGACCTGCTTGAAATGTCACTGGTGGAATTGACATGGAACCGTTTGCAAGAGTGCGGGGAAGACGGCGTGCTGGGCAAAAACGATATCTACCTGGACATGACTTGTGCAAACGAACGTTTACTGGCAATTGACCTGTAACACAAAGACCATAAAACGTTATCTTAGGTTTTGTCTCTTAGACACCCAGAGGGCAGGAAACCGCCAACCATTGTTCAGTTGGTTCGATTTTTTATGTGCTCTGATTTTGTCTCACAAACTTTACAAGCATTCAACATGAACATAAAATGTTTGAGCTGTGGCTCTTGCGACATTAAGCGAGATCCGAAGAAAAATTACTCGCTATTATTATCAATCCTATCTTGAAGTAAATAGTTTGACACTTTTCTAACTTGAAAGTGTTTGAAAAAGACCTGTGGTCGAAATAAATATTACATTCTGTCAAGTAAAGCATACATTTGTACAGCATTAGTTTTGGTAATTATCGAGGAAAAAAGGTCATGTTTTTACATTTTCTACTACTTATAAACATGTTCCTCGTAGGAGCACTAACCTCATTAAATAGTTTGACACGTTTAATCAATTAGACATGCTGTTTATTCGACATATTATCATTATATGCTGGCCCGATTAGTCATTATGGGCCGATATTATCATTATGCTGGCCTGATTAGTCATCTTGATACTACACGCTCGTCTTGACCTAGAAATGCAGAGACAACAGCAACAAATAATAAAAGAAAAGTACGAACCTCCACCATGCGCCTGTCTTCCTCCTCCGTCGTCTTCCGTTTTCTTCCACACTTATCATAGCGCGCTTTCAAACCCCTTTCTCCTTCCTGCTCATAACGGTGTTTCCACCGTCTGGCAGTAGTTAGAGCTACACCGAGAATCTCTGCCGCCTGCTTGACAGAGTGACCTTGATCGAAAAGCAAGATGAGCCTGCCCTTGTCAAGATCACTGAGGTGTGCCATCACGCTCACGTTGACGTCTAGCCGCACACACTCCACGCGGGCTGCGGCCGCATACTGCGGCTCTCCTTCCCCGGCTTTCCGCCCCACTCGGAACAGAAACAGCCAGGTCATGTCATTCCGTGACCCTCAAAGGATACTGTGCCGCACCACACTAATCGGTACACTCTCTGACACACCAGGCCTGCCCCGCCGTGGCCCAGCCCCGGTCCCGGTATGAGCGCGGATTCTGCGCTCAATAGTACTTTAGTGTTCCAAGGTGACGGCCAACGGATAGTGTCTGAACACTGGTATTGACAGTGAGGATTTATGTGGTGACTAGCGAGGGTTGATTAGGTGACATTTAATGCCGGTAGCAATCCATTGCAGTAGCAAGAAGGTGTTTCGTCGATACAGAGGTAATGTTACAACTTAAGTAACCTACATATGATATTAAAGCAGTAAATTACAACAATGTCATTTTGTGTAATTATGTATTATTTTTCAGCGGTTTCATAAGTCTCTTGATAGGCATAGCTTTCATCCATTCTATGCCAATCTCTGTCCGCACACGCATGCTGCTGAATGTCATTTTCTTTCCAAAGCAAATGGGAGAATGGCGTGACGACTGCAAGGGAACAGTCGTAATTCATAGTACACATGCATACTGGTATCATGATTCAACGAATTTGCAACACCAGTTCGCCGTAGTGCGCAATGTCCCAAGAACATTATAAAGCATTTTTAAACATTAGATGATTCATACCATCTGCATCTGCAATTTAAAACCCTCGCCGGCCGAGGGGGGGGGGGGGGGCGGGTGCCGCCCCCCATAGGGTTTTTTCGCGATAGCTCCGAACACGCTGGCGATAGAGAGCTGAAACTTGGCATACCTGATCTTTGATCCAAGCCGGATCTTTTGACACCAACCGCATTTTTGGGTCAGGTCAGGTCACTGACCTATGACGTCATAAGTGAACCTCTGCACGGTCTTCAGATGTCGCAACTTCGCAACGCCCTCACTGCCAGAGGAGATGTCACAGGGAAATGAAACTTGCAGGATCTAGTATCCATTATGAGTCCCACAACTTGTATATCTCGGATTTTTCCTAAAGGTCATATGAGGTCAGGTCATTTTCGTGACCTCACCATTATAAGTCAATGGGGAAAAATGAAAACTGCTATTCTGGCGCCGGGAACGATCTCCAACTATATCAAGCACACAGAATCGTGATTTGATGCACTCCTTGCAAGGTTAGATGCGTCACTTTTGCAATGTTGACCTTGCGTGACGTCATCTATGACGTCATCAAGGTCATATTAGTTTTTCGTCAATAACTCTTGATCAAATTGAGCTAGCGAGTCGGGAAAGCCACCAATGGACTCAGGAAGGCCTGCCGAATCGAATGATATGCGACATGACCTCTTTCGACCAACTTCGTGACCTGGGGGTGCTGACCTGACCTTGACCTGAGGTCAACACCCCAAGTTGACCTGACCCGGACAAAAAGTATATCATTCGACGCGCCTGAGCAAGGCGAACACGATGCTGCCAAAATCGGCGCTCTGCGGCCGTTTTTTGCGAAGTTATTCACCAAAAACTGAACCGTACCTTGGGGCACTTGACCTGACCTCAGAGGTCACCGGTTGACCTAGGACCTTAAAATCGGGTACCAACCTCTGCGTCTCGTAACGGCGCACACGCTCGTTTTTTCCGCGACGCGCTAGCTCCACCAGGGGCGAAACGGCGAGGGGGGGTCGTACCCGCCCCCCCCCCCCTCGGCCGGCGCGTATGTAGAAAACGAATAGGTCCGGCGAGGGTTAACGTACGACCACTTCATAGCCGTCATCCGTCATCAAGCGTCTCTTGTTTGCGGTCACGGCTTTAATTCGTACACTTTGAGTGCCGTAAGACCCAGTTGTCATTAAAAAGTTGTTAAGCTCGACGTCGGTTGCGGCCTGGCTGGTGATTGAATCGGACGAGACCTTGCTCCGTCAGCGTGTTTCACCAGCAACGGGCCAGTCCGGCCGGGGCAGTTTTTATCGGTGCCGGGAGAGCTGGTGTTCCAGGTCTGGTCTGCAGAGCTCTTTCCATTGGTCCGGCGCCAGAGGCCAGCTTTGGCCGAGCCTTGGGCTCACTGCTGCCTAACGTTCATAACTGACACAATACTATGTCCAACTACATACTTAGGAAAGCGTCTTGATTTGACATTGTCACTTAAAGTCTGGTGTCATTTTCTTGTTCCTTGCCGAATGCCTCTCAATGTTGGTCCATAGTAAATAGATACATATGTCCACGGTAAGCGTGGCTACTGCCTAACAACTCAGAGCTGCCCTGCCGATGCCTGTCGGTCGCCATTGGTCTACGGCACATGTAAGGGATAATGTGGGCAACGCTTTGACTGCTCGTCTTCACAAGACTAAATCGTATCGTTTACCAGCGCACCTCATGCTGCTTCTGCGTACAGTCCTTAGTCCTTACTTCATGTTGGCTTTTCCTAGTGCAGGCCTACATTCATGTTGGCCTCCCCGATTGCGGTCCTAGCTCACACTGGGCCTTACTCATGTTGGCCGCTCTCGGAACGGTTTTAACTCACGTTGGTCTCTCCGAGTGTGGCTGTAACTCACACTGGTCTCGTAGAGACTCTACGGGCGTGGTCCTAACTTATGTTAGCTTCTCTGAGTGTGGCTATAACTCACGTCGGTCTCTCCGAGTGCAGGCCTAACTCACACTTGGGTACTCGTTTTTAAAGGGACCCTCCCACCTTCAAAAAAGTTAATGAATGGGCATGAAAGTGATGTCGCTCGGTTCAGAAAGAGCAAAAACGAATATCTACCAAATTTCATCGAAAAATATTCACCGGTTTTCAAGATATTAGACTTTTACTTTTGTTTACTTTTTGGGATCTCCGCTGTTCCTAGCGACTTTATTTGAAAGTGCGGCATTTGTTGCGCGCAAAGCAGCATATACCACCGCGTGCTACAAAACGTTTTAGTCAAACATTTAACGGACGTTCGAAAGCCTGATGACGTCATCAGATTCCCGTAATGGTTAAGAGATAGGGACCACGCTGGTCCCACCCTGCAAGTAAAGGGAAGAAATTTCTTGAACACCATAAAGCTGCGGGGGTTGCGACCAGGATAAATGGTGGTTTCTGAGCCTGGCCGCAAACTTGGCTATCTCAACTCAAAACTAATGTTAAGGTGGGAGGGTCCCTTTAACTCCAACTCACGCTGACCCCTTCCAGTGTGCCTATAACTCACGTTGGTCTATCCGGGTGTGGCTATAACTCACGTTGGTCTCTCCGGGATGGTTATAACTCACGTTAGTCTCTCTGAGTGTGGTTCTAACTCATGTTGACCTCTCAGAGTTTGGCTATAACTCACGTTGGTCTCTCCGACTGAGGTCCTCTCCTCACTGGTGGCGGCTGGCTCCGGCTCGTGGAGACCGTTGGTGAGCGGCGGCAGGTCGCCCAGCATCCTCAACTGGCCAGTTAGCGAACCGTCATCCAGCAGCATTTACAGCCGATCCGACAGCAGGCCCGTCCCACCCGGACGGAGCTCTGAAAAAAAATCAGGACAACGATGTGTCAGTGATCAGTGTTTTATCCTCCCTTTCAACCTCTGATCATGTAAGCACGAGGCTCTATTCTGATTCTTGTGGGGGTATGATTTTGTATACTATGTTGTACTGTATACTGTGTATACTAGATCAAAGCAGTTAAACAGTACGCATGAGTTTACATCGTCATGGAGCTAGTTTGAGTAGACATTGATCCTTCAGGTTTTGGAATTGGAACCAAGTTCGTCGTTAAAGTTATCACTAACTCTGGCCGACGCGTCACATTACAGTGCCACTTCTTGACGAAAACATATGGCCTTTGTTTGGGAATAGCAGATCAGCATGCGGCGTTTGCAAGCGGAGTGGATGGCTGAGACACGGACTGCTTTGATATATGATAGCGATGAATAATCATAATGGTGTAAAATCACGCCAGTCAAAGCCGAATTATACGAGCATGACTGCATCAAATTACCATATACAATACATCGTTACGGACAGCCCTTCCATGTGGGTTCTTTGGTGTGTTTGTCGACGATTGCTGAACAAATGTGTACTGCCCTAAGCCTCATTCGATATCTATGTTTTGTCCTTGTAAAGCATTGCCACTGGTGCTGTAACTATCTTTGCCATTTCATTTGTATTATGAATTTGAACAACAGTAAAGGTTCTCGTTTTGATCTGCAACGGTCAATAAAGCCGCCTAGGGCTCTAGAAGAAGTCTGTTGTTTGAAAGGTCACCTTAATCGGCCAAGTGAGGCGAAATGTCACAGTGTAACAAAATTAATCCACTGTCGGAGAATTCCGTCGAGTAACGCCTCCGCCAGTTCACGAGGATCGGAGCAGCTAGCGATTGGTGGAGGCTCTTTATGAGCGATTGAGTGTGCACTTATCGTGCACTTCAACCGCGCCCTACCGGTGATCGCTGCGAAGTGCCAACTAGAGAGTCTGTTTTGTGCCTTGGAGCTCCGACTCTTCCTAGCTACCTGAAGACAAAAAGTTACGAACTATTGTGAACAATTCTCTTGTAAGCCGTTTGAAATTTATCCTCTTGGATCCTAGGTATGATTTATGAAGGGTTATTACTGATATAGCTAAGGACTATTGGGCGTAATATTTCTCGGTATCTTTATTTTTATTTGTTTTGTTCCTTAGTGATGGTATGTCCAATGCCCATTTGGGAATCCAGTTCACCTCATGTATTTATAACTTATGTTTTCCGTTGCTTGCCACCATATGCAAATGACTGCTTATTGATCGACTACACCAAATGTGTTTATTCAGAGCGTCCCAACGAAGTTTGCAAAGCGTAGTAGTGTGTCGCCGTCCGCGTCCAAGAACTGTTGAATGTGTCGGTCACTTATAGATTTTCGAACATGCCAGTAACGGTTCTCTATTGCCCTGGATCGTGATGAAGCATCACATAAGCCACATACTGTCACAGCTGTATGGTTAGTGCTTAGGGAGCGGCCAGCCTGATGTGCCTCGCTGGCCGCCTGGCCTCAAAACGGAGCCGCTTTGAGCAGTGTCAATGGTGTGACGACGGTGATCAATAGGTCATCAGTGCTGAACGGCTGATGGCCGGGGAGGGGTAACAAATAGGGGACCGGCTGCGTGGGTGGGGTAAGCGATGGGGGCACGTGGCCTAGGGGCGGGGTAAGAGGGACACGGGGCGTGGATTGGGAGGTTAGCGGTAAATGTGCAGGGTAAGGGTAGGAATGGTATAACTGGGTATAACCAAGCAGTGGGTGAAACAATGCAAAACTGGTTAATCAACCAAGTCAGGGGACACAGAGCCGTGAGGGTGAAATTACCAGCAGCTTATCTGGTTTTGATTGATGAACAGAGTAAAACTTATTGAAGAGGAAGAGAGAGTTTAATTAAAAAGCGAGTCACGTGGAGCTCTGTGGATATGGGATACCCGGCGTGAGGGCATTATTTCGGACATAAAGAACCGATTGAAGGTATAGAGTGGAGGTGGGATGAACTTATTGAATATATACAATACAGGATGTGTGGGGAGGACGGAATAACTAGCGGAAGCTAACGATGTGCCAATGTTCCAGAAGAAGTAATCCGAGTGTGGACGGACGGGCAGTACGTGTATTGACCCAGTTTGATGAGGATAATTAACATCGGGTGAAGAAGGATGGAGAGAAAATAACGCAGTGTCTCGACACAGGGCGTCCCCAGACGCCTCATGCATCCACCGGAGACGTGGCCGGTGGCCCAGATATGATGTGACCTACCATTGTCGTTGGCTGAATAGTATTCTTAGACTATTCCTCGGGAGTTGATCAATTTTGGTGACTTGATGAGCTTGCAACTTAGATCGTAATTGGAACGTTTGAATTTGCCATTCTTAGCATAAGCGATAGGTAAGCTTGGAGACGGGAATTTAATCGGCATTCGACGAGTGACTTGCTTGACCAAGTACTCTATCAACAGTGGCTTGCCGTGGCCTCTTCAACTTTACTGCGGTAGCAGCATCGACGATGTCTGTCTCTAGCCTAGGGAACTGACTCACCTGTCCCCCTTACTCTGATGTATATGCGCATATCAAAGCCTTCAGAGGTCTTACGAGAGATATCAAGCATGGGCTCGAATGGCGTGTGCCCAGTCAATGCTTACTTGATGTCGTTGTTCGTTGTCGCAGTCGAAAAGCGTTTTCTGCGGAAGGGAGGACGTTTGGTCCTTCTCTTCACTCACCCCCGCTCGCCTGTTTGCTCACTTCCACTCACCACGGAAGTATCGCTCTCCGCTGCCGATCTCGGCACTCCGCTGCCACCACGGGCTACGACAGGACCCACCAGGTCGCCCGAGTACCTCAGCCCCCTTCACCGGGAGGTAATCAAGTGGTCCTCCTCTGCACTGTCCTCACTCCTCAGCACCGCCCACTGCTGACCGGCCAGTCTGCCCCTCGGACCCCTCGCAGCCCTGTGTGTCGCGTTTGTCGCCGCGCCGCGGAGTGCGCCGCTGCACGTCGCCCGCCGGCGCCGCCGCTCAGGTATGTGCTGCGGCGTGGCGCCGGCTGCCATGGCAGACCATCGATCCCCAGTGCGACACCCGTTCGAGCCGCCCGCCACACAACACACCACGCTACAGCTTTGGCCGGAGAACGGAATGCGCCGCAGGTGAGGTCACCGAAAAGGGCATGAGGTGCCGAGCGGCAAATGGTATATGTGGGCATGGTTGATTTGTGTCTGTTTCTGTGTGTCTAATGGCAATAAAGGCGAATGCTCGCGTAAATGCCGGTCTTCATTGCTCCCATAGTTAGTGCTGGTCGGAAACGATTAACTATTATTACCGGAATGTAGGCATCAGATTCATAGGTATACCTTAACCACGAAAGAAAATAAATCATCCCTTTACCGATACTGTTTCACCGTTTGCTTTTATACTGGTTGGCCAGAGTTGTTCCTGTGTCCATACACAACCAGTATAACGCCTTATGGGGCGACTAACGGAGCGAGCGAGAGGGTGGGCCTTGCACGTGTAAAATTTCGAGGGGGTACCTCCAACTGACTTGTGCACGGCACCCTACTGACCGGTCTCTAGCGATGTGCCAAATTTGAGCACAATCGGCCCAGCCGTTCTCGAGATCTGGAAGCGGCACCCTGCACGTGCGCACGTGCAAAATGGGTCCCAACTGACTTGTGCACGGCACCCTACTAACTGGTCCCTAACCGTGTACCAAATTTGAGCGCCATCGGTCCAGCCGTTCTCGAGATCTGGAAACGACCCCTGCACGTGCGCACGTGCAGCAGCACCCCAACCTCAACACATGCAGATGAATTATCTGATGGAGACCTAACTGTCTACCGAGTTTCAATTCAATCGGCCCAACCGTTGTGCCGTTATTGAGGTTGCAATTTTGGGGGTTCTTAAAAAATGTCCAACTTTACCACGCGCCACGTGCGGTGGTTGGCAAGAACGCATGGTGGCCATCACACCACAGAACTTTTACGTCCAAGTGACATTCAGTAAAGAAGACCGCTTGTCAATCGGATGTCCCGTTCCTAAGATATTAGCTTTTGAAGAGCGTCCCCACGGCCGGCCGGCCGGCCGGCCGCTCATACTCAGAAATTTCCGTTAATCTAAGGAAAGACTCCGCTCGCTTCGCTCGCTCCGTAATAACGTTTCAAGGCGTAGCTTCCAAGAATAACATTTTTATACAAAATGCTTGTGTCACAAATGGGCATGATTTCTCCAGTGACAGGCAATGAAATATGAAATGATATGAAATGATATGAAAATATATTACAAATTGTTAGCAGCATAGACATTAGACATTGCACTGTTTACTCATTACTGGGACCCAAAGCTGAACTTCATTTACATAAGCTGTCCTTTGACTTCACCCAGTGTCTCGTTGGGTCACGTCATGGCCACGCGGCCAGCCCATTTATAGCACACTTATTGGCAGTTTAGACTCCTAAACGGCCCTAGAGCCGATGCAAAGGACCCAACGATGCTGTTTGCAGTAAGGTGAAAGGAACCACCATCCATCGACCATCGCACGCGTACATACTACATACATAATGTCGAGACGACGGGCGACATTATGACTTATCAATGGGCGGTGCCACCGGGGCATGGACCGTAAGCATCGATTGTTCGCCTCCCCTCGCTCCACTGGCCACCCTAGTTCCCCATTTCCGCGCGTCAGAGGTGTATGCCCACTTGGTGCCCACACCTGGCCTGACAGAACTCAGATATAAGGGCACTAGCGGCCATTGTTTCACGTGGAAAGCAGTTATGACTGATGGTCTGTTCAGAACCTCATGGCGTCACTCATGAGCGAGATGTCGCACGAGTTGTCTGGATGTACAAAAACACAATGCTGAAGGTCCTATGCTGGAAGAATAAACATGTCTATAAAAAATGACACCAGGGATATGAGTTGTCGCAAAAAATAAATAAGTAATCGATTGTATGTTGATTGACGCAGGTTCCTAGCGTAACCAAACACTGTCCTATTTTTTGGAGGAGTCGCATAGTTCGCCTACTAGTCGCATGTGGCGAATCATTTCGAAAGCGAAGGTCTTCTTTGGTCAATGGAAAGCTAAGCCATGATCCAGAGGTTGGAGATGACTAGGACGAAAACATCGTTCGGGTATGACTGCCCTCTCGGTGTCGTACATAGTTGGAAATTAGTAGTCCCATCGGGGGATGGGAGTCTGGGGGACCCGGGTTTGGATTCCCGGTGCCCCCCGTCCAACGGACTGCCGCCCTCATCTGCGTCATCACTCATAAGTATAGTGTTTAAAAGTTATAACTAAAACAAAAAGGTTCTTGCTACTGCCGTAGCCCGTAGATATAGCTAGAGCAGGGGTCGGCATCCTTATATTAACACGACGGGATGAAGCTGATGTGAAGCGGTCGGCAGGCCGGATGGAACCATCTCGACTTTATAGTTTATAGACCATAGACCTATACAACAGTACCTAACAGCTAACATGCAACGTTTGGAAAGTATGTCGCACAATGAATGGATTGGTTGCTTACTTGCGACATTTGAAAGCCATTGCCCTGCGACATAAAGTGAAAGTTACCCTCTTTGGACTTGAACGCACCGCGGCACCGGGCAAGAGATGGCTTCAAATTTTTGCCGATACCAGCGCTCCAGTGTATAATTACAATCCAAGGTCAACTCCCAGACTTGTTTAGTGGTGATTTGAAACTTGTTATTTGCTTTGTTGCCGTTATTACTGTGGTATGCATTGGCGCCGACATGTATAGCCAAAGTTATTTGTTTTTGCTAGCCTCTTGCTTTGTGAAAGATGGGCCTCAGAGATTGCGTCATTTCTAGCGCAGTGCTTACATTTCTGGCGCTGTGTGACGTGAACCGAGCTGATACAAATCAATTGTAAATTGCGAGAAAATGTGTGCGTGTGGGGCGCAGAAGATGGATGATTATTTACTAATAATTAAGTGGGAGTAGCGTATTTTCGGATACATCGGTGCTGGAGCAACCTGCAGAGCTGTGGGAGGTAAGAAAAGGCTTTTATTGAGCGTAACTTAGCAGGGAAACACGCTGCAGCTGCGAAGGGCAGCGAGGTCGATGCCACGCCAACTCCATGTAACGTTGTATGTGAAAAGCAATGCATTCACGAATTGATCCTTATAACGCATGCTAAATTGCTAAATTCGACAACTTTTGAAGGTATCTTGAGCCTTCCAGGAAATAGTCAGTTGATAAAGGCCTCAAGTTAGAGGTAGACATTTTTGTGATGTCTGCCAGATTCCTGTACCATTGCTAGATTGTATCTGCTTGGTAGGTGTATTTTTTATTCTTAGTTTGTTTGCCCCGAACACCTTGCTCTATTTCATCAGAAGATGACCCTAAATTACTTCCAATTTTAATTGGATATGCCTTTCGGATATACCTAAGATTTGCATCATTTAAATTTTCTGTAATCATGTTTGTAATGTTTATGTTTGTTTGTTGGTAATTTTGGCTCCAGTATGACTGCATTTGCAATGCTTAGCAGATAAATCTCCAGTTTTACAGTGTTGGTTAATGGTACCTTAATTGAACGAATGGGTGCTCACTCATTTGGATATCAAATATGAATGTTGCATTCATTGAACATGGTTACCCAATGCTATTTTTTATATGTTTAGAATGAATATCCTTGTTTGCAAACAAATATTTTGTTTATTTGAATGCTTTTATTGGTCAAAATGTGTAATTCAACATCACTTTCTATCACCAAGATTGGTGGCTAACTCTTAGCTGATAGGAATGAATTTTGCGAATTATTAAGAAACTCTCAAGGGGATTGATTATCTCCATCAAATCAGACTATGCAGAGGTAATGGAAACAGGATTGGCTGTATCTATGATAAGACATTCCTTAATCCTTCTAGAGCGCATTACTATACCAGAGAGGATTTATGGAGAAAATAATCTCAGAATGGGTTGTTACGTACTAGATATTCATTGTCCACTTTGAAAACAAGTTGTTTGTTTAATGTGTTTACTTGACAGAAAGTGCAAAACATGATTCTTATCTCATGCAAATATAAATTTAATTTTTTTTTCTTTAAATACGCAGAAGCAATATCTAACAAACAACATGCGAAATGTGATGGCCTTATGCCTACGCATTTGTAAAATGTATATGTTGTAGAATGTGATTGAATTACAAAATAATTATTTTAGGTTGGCCCTTGCATGCGTTGCCTGCAGTTTTTTCTACTTGTACCTACCCTCTAAAACTGGAATGGTTTAATTAACATGTTTGGTGAAGAATTACAACACATAATATATCTGCTCTTCTCAGATATTAATGATGCAATAAGTAGATAGCATTGCAGCTATACTAGATAAAAATAATGTCTTTCCATTTTTCCAGGCATGGAGGTGCCACCTGGCCCGGTGCGGCGCCGCCACGCGCGCTGGGCCACGGAGAGCATGCGCCAGGCGCTGCGCGACGTGCACACGGGCCAGCGCAACATGACAGCGGCAGCGCGTCACCACGGCATTCCGCGCCAGACGCTCGTCGACTACTACAAGGAGTCGTGCGAGACTGGCGAGCACGCCACCATCCTGAAGCGGCGCGGCGGCCGCCAGGCGCCCGAGGCGGGCGAGTGCGCCGCCGCGGACACGCCGACGTCCGCCCCCGCCGGCGCCGCGGCCGCCGCCACCTCCGTCAGCAGCGCCGCGGTGCCCGCAGTACCGGCCACGCCGCGGGACGACTTCCACCGCACGCTGGAGCGCACCATGGCGCACCTGAAGGTGGGCGCCGCCAGTCTGTTCACCGTCAGCGAGGTGGGTCTGCGCGCCTGCGGCCACGAGCCGGACGCCGACAAGGCGGAGCCGCTGCACGTGCTGGCGTGCGTGGCGGCCAGCGGGCGCTGCCTCACGCCGCTGGTCGTTTTTAAGGAGGATGCCGTGCCCGACGAGCTGGACGGAGAGTCGTCGCTGGGCTTCCACATTGCTACCTCAAAGGCGGGCACCGTCACAGAGGCCATCTTCGCGCGTTGGATGGCCGAGTTTGTAGTGCAAAAGCCGGCTGGGCCGGCGCTGCTGCTGGTCAACGATGACCGCTACCTGTCTGATCAGGCCGGCCCTGCGCTGCGGCTGGCCGCGGACAGCGACGTGGCCGTGCTGCTGCTGCCCGAGCGGGATGCGGCCGCGCTGCAGCCGCTCGACCGCGTGCTGCTGCCCTCGCTGGCCGGCCGCTACGAGGAGGAGTCGCGCAGCTGGCACGGCCAGGCGTCGGGCCAGTGTCCGCTGCGGGCCTGTTTCCGACACATCTTCTCCACGGCCTGGCACCAGACCATGGCCTCGCCGCTGCTGGTGATGGCCGCCTTCCAGGTGACGGGCATCAGCCCGCTGGCGGAGGGCGGCGAGCGGCCGGCCGGCGGCCAGGCGCTGCGCGCCGGCGTGATGGCGCAGCTGCTGCGCGCCGTGGGCCACCAATGGCCGCCGCGCCTGCCGCCCAGCCTACCCGTCTGGTTCCCGCGGCCACTGCGGTGATCCGCGTCGCGCCGCAGCCTCCACCCTCTTGCCTCCCGTTGTGTCAAACACCAGTGTACAAACGCGCTGCGAGGAGTCAGCTAGCTAGTTGCAGTACCGCGTCCGGCCGTCGGTAGTGTTATTTATATGCCGTGTCTGCCTGTATTGTGCGTCAGTTTTCCGCGCCGTGCCGAGTTCGACGCGTACCTCCTCAGCTCAACCTGCTCAGTGTTGCCACAAAATGTCCGTCAAACATGCCACGGTCTTACCGTTGTACCTGTAATCTCCTCGAGCAAAGGGGCACTCTCACGCAGACAGAGTCCACCCAAACAATGTGCCACAATACCATAAGCCAGTGAATCACATACATCAGAATGACTGTCCATTTACATTGAACCTCTGTAGGCGACTGTTCCACTAGTCCCATGTGCCATGCTGTCGATTCTCGGTAGCAATGTGTGACAAAGGATTGTCGCCTTGTGTGTATGAAGCATAATTGACTGTTCACGAGCATAGATGAATCATTTTGCCGACGCCTGAACGGGGCGTTTGTGCACCTCAGAAAGAGATCTGATGACAGCTGTCAATAAAAGTGAACTCAGTTCATCATGTTTCGTTAACGAGGGAAAAGTAACTGGGCCAATTAATTTGAGCTAAGTTGCAGAACAAGTAGTAATGAATGTACGGTGTGTACAAGTAGGTAAGAGGTGTACAGTCAGTCAGTCACGCTTGCATTTCGGGAACTCCGGGAACTATCACCAGCCCCGACCACATCCGACCACAGAGCAGCAGATATAATTAGAGCAGCCAGTGGTCGCCGGTCTGTCCCGGTCTCTCCAGCCGCAGCTGTCCGTCCCGGTTCCATCCTCTGGCTGCGGGTCACGGGGTGCCCGCGACCCCGCAGAGGACTTCCCCGGACTCCACAGAGACCCCGGTGCGTGATATGGCCGTCCCTCGCCATCGCCGATGTCCGGTCGCAACCCGGCGAAGCCAGCTGGGAATCAGTCGACAACAAGTCCTGTCGTGGTCATGGCACCCGTCGCTGAGTCGTGCCCCAGGAAGGCGCCCTGTAATGGCGAGGTGAGCTGCTTGGGGCGGAGCTGGGAGGGATGGGTTTGCGGTACCGCAATTTCTATATTGCTGTGGTGCTGTTCTGGATCGTTCTTGTTGTTTTGCGTTTAATTGCATAATGTGTACCATTTGGATCGACTGCATGGGTGGGTTGTCTGCTTCCTAATTTGTATCGAGCAGTGTTGGTAATTGTCAAGATGTTTTAGGTCGGTATTATTTTGATCGTTTTTAATCGATGCCTTCGGCATAATTTGCCGAATGTTACCGTCAATGGCTAGTAGGTTAAACGTTTATTTAAATTTTAACATTTTATTATATGGGGTCTATTTTAACAGTTCAAAGTCGTAAAAGAAGCTTTGCGGTGTCGTCTTCTCTGCCTGCATCCTACAGCTAACCAGATAAATGTCAGCGAACGTATTTGTTGTAATCGGTCTGCCTATGTTTCAGACTATGTGCGATGCGCTCGGCGGCAAATCACTCGTCGGTGCCGCTCTGCACAGCGAGACCAGTCCGCTGCTGCCGTCCACTGGCTCTCCCCGGGTGAACGACAGGTCGCCGCCTACCGACGCCGAGGACGGTAGGTGCGCCTCCCCGGCCTGCCCTCAGCCGGAGTCGCCGGGCGCCGGGCGCTGCTCGGCCTGCCGACACTGGGGCCTGCTGCTGGCGCTGGTGGCCGCCCTGTCCTCCTCACTGGTCAGTGTGGTGGTGCAGCAGCTGTCTGACGTCGACCCGGCCTGTCTCTCCGCCTTCCGGTTCCTCAGCATAGTGCCGCTGGCCGGCCTGGAGGCGCTGCGGCGCGGTCAGGACATCTTCCCTCGCGGTCATCGCACGGTGCTGCTGCTGCGCGCGGTGCTGGGAGCGGCAGCGCTCATCTGCAAGTTCTACGCCCTGCGTCGGATGCTGCTGGCCGATGCTAGTGTGCTGCTGCTCAGTGCGCCTGTGTTTGTGTCCGTGTGGGCGTGTCTGCTGCTGGGGGAGCCCTGTGGAGCGCTGCACGTGATGTCGCTGCTGGCGACCATCTCCGGGGCAATGATGATTGTCCGTCCAAAGTGGATGAGATCCGGAGCAAGGCCCTATATACCATCTGGAGTAGCTGGGGCCGATGACACAGTGTCTCTGGCGGGCGCGGCGCTGGCCCTCGCCAGCGCGTTGTTCCTCTCTGCGGCGTACGTGACGCTGCGCCGCCTTCAGAGCGTCCACTGGTCTGCCACTGTTCTCGTGTTCGGTGTGGTGGGCGCCGTGATGTCTTACACAGTCTGGCTAGCTACCGGAGCTGGCCACTCTCCCTCCAGCGCCGCCGAGTGGCTGATGGTGCTGGCTCTGGGCGCGCTCACCATGGTGATGCAGCTGGCCTTCACGGTGGCCTGTCAGCTGGAGCAGGCTGGCCCGGTGGCTGTGGTGCGCACCTCTGAGATCGTGTTTGCTGTCGTCTGGCAGGTAGCGTTCTTCCATTGCGTGCCCGGCCCGTACACGGTCGCTGGTATGGTGCTGGTGATGATGTCGGTACTGGCGGTGGCGCTGCATAAATGTATCACCCAGCGTCGGGAAGACGGGAGACCGTGAGCGATTCTAAGTGGTGCCTCCTGACGGACGAGTTACGACACCCTTGCATCCTGTACATAGTTAGCTTTGTTCTGCTTGTGTGTATATACAGCAGTGTACTCAGTAATGGTTCAAGGTACGGTGAGTCACTAATATCATTTTACCCCCGCTCCTTCTCTTGTATATCCATTGATTCCTATATTCATTATTTTGTTTTTAAAACAGGCAACTGCCCCAGTGCTTTTAAAAATTAAATACTTAGTAAGATATAAAACGGTCTAGATGGCTTCAGTAGTAAAGAAACTTTTATAAAGGCGATATGCCTACGAATTAATTATGGGATTTTGCACGGAGAATATAGGAATACACTGCTTCATTGTCTTTCATCTCTTAACTATACACAAATGATTCATAGCTATTTTTAGCTTAACCATGTGATCAATTCATCTTTGGTGGGACTTTGAGGATTTTTTTTTTTTTTTGTAGACTTTAGATCATGATTCATGAACAGTGCTGTGGTTCGTGAACACTGAACAGCTCTAGGGAGCTTCGTACTCTCATTATTGATTGCGTTTTGACCGGTCCTCTGACACCCACCTTAGTGTCTTTTCTTGAAAGAACACGAGTCTCTTTGTCACGTGAACTGTTTGTAACTTTTAGAACCGATCGTTTGGTGCCTTGAGTCCCTTGAGCTGCTTTGGACTTATTTAGGACCCTTTCCATGAGCATACTGTCCCCCCCCCCCCCCCCAGTGGCGGCACGTGTTGATATTTTGTGTTAAAGTTATGTTTCCTTCGTCTCGAAAAGTTTGTTCCAAGTAACGTAGACACAGGAAAAAACAACAGTCTAAACCTAGACAGAGCCTAAACATTTCACAAAAGTTCCGTTTTGATACCGAGCCTCGCGATGCATCCGCTGTTCTGCGGGGGCGCCTCAGTGTCGCAGTTGGTAGGTGGCGCTGTTGGAGATTTCAGTACCGAGTGGAGCCGCAGATCAATGGGTCTGATAGTTATGTTCAGCACGCGTTGATACTGGCCGATTTGTCGTCATGATGTCCTCGGACACCTGCTCCGACTCGGAGAGTGACGAGAAGATCGAGCTGCGACTGCGACTGAGTCGCTCGGGGCCGCTGAACTCGGGCGCTTCGCTCGACTCGCTGGTGGCCGGCCGCCAGACTCCCGGCTACCACCCGTCAGCGCTGCTGCCGGCGCTCACGGACCAGCAGCGCACCTTCCTGGCGCTGGTCGAGGACGGCGACACGGACGCTGTCCAACACTTCCTGGCGTCGGCGCCCGGTCTGGACATCAACTGCGCCGCCTTCTCGGGTGTGACGGCGCTGCACACAGCCGTGGAGCGCGGCGACACGGCCATGGTGGCGCTGCTGGCGCGCCGGCCCGAGCTGCGCGTGGCCGACTGCGTGCTGCACGCGGTGGCCGGCGGCGACACGGAGCTGACCCAGCTGCTGCTGGAGCGGCTGCCGGCCGGCTGCGAGGCGCGCGGCTACCTGGACAGCGCCGCCTTCACACCAGACATCACACCGCTGCTGCTGGCCGCGCACAACGACGACTACGAGATGGTGCAGCTGCTGATGGCGCGCGGCCACCGGCTGCAGCCGCCGCACCCGCCGCACTGCCTCTGCGCCGCCGTCTGCTTCAGCAAGCTGGACGGCGAGGACCTGGCGCACTCGCTGAAGAGGCTGCACACGTACCGGGCGATGGCGGCGCCGGCCTACATCTGTCACACTGCCGCCGACCCGGTGCTCACCTGTTTCACGCTGTCTGAGGAGCTGCGCGAGTGTGCCGCCAGCGAGGCCGAGTTCCGCACCGAGTACACCGAGCTGTCCTCGCAGGTGCGCCAGTTTGCAGTGCGCCTGCTCGACTACTGCCGCACCACAGAGGAGGTGGAGCTGGTGGTCACCCAGCGGGCCGGCTGCTACGAGGGCTCGCGGCCCTTCAAGTACCCCCGCATCCTGATGGCGGCCGACCTGGGCCAGAAGGAGTTCGTGGCGCACCCAAAGATCCAGCAGGTGTTTACCAATCAGTGGCTGGGCAGGCGGCAGCGCTGGCGACAGTACTCGCTCTGCAAGAAGTCGGCCATCTTTATGTTCCAACTGCTGCTGCTGCCCGTCACGTCGCTGTTTTTCATCCTGGCGCCGAGGTCCAAACTCAACACGTACTGGGACTCGCCCATCAACAAGTGGCTCAACTGGATGGCATCATATGTGAGTCCAGCCCGAAAGTTATGTTTATCCTCTCCGTTTTACGTCGGCACTGAAAGGCAAAGCACCGATCACATCACAGCACATCTCGTAGTTTGAGACTGAAAGGATGGCTAAAACGCTGTAAACTTTTCGCACAGCCTACAACTTTATTATGTTATTGGGTGAGGATAGTACAAGCTAGTAGACAGCTTTTCCACGGGAGCTAAAACTAATAATTGTTAACTGCCCAATGCTCAAAGTCTGCTGCGTCCTGCGACGTTACTTCCCTGCCTACCGCTAGATGGCAGTAGGCGTTAGCGCCTGACTCGGTATGCTGTACCGCATAGCATCATGTCGCCAGTTCAGATATTTTAGGAACGGTAAGGCAGATAGCAGTCATTTTAACGATAGAATGTCGATCTTTTGATGAATGGAAGGTTGCAAAACGCACATATAACTAAATATGGGTAGCTTGCCGGACTATCCCTACTGATTGGCTTTTCGTGATTGTATGTTTGCTAACTGATTAAGGCCAATGAATTGACCTTTACCAACAGCTGCTGGATTCAATAGCTGGCTGCTACCGCTAGGCCTGATAACGTCCAGCACCGCTGACGCTTAATTCCCACCGCCACAGGTGATATTTCTGCTGTTGATCATTATCTCTGAGATTCTGGACGAGATCAATCAGGTGCGCGGCCCTCCGGACTCGCCGCTCAAGTACGTGCTCATTCTGTGGGTAGTGAGCATCACCTACTCGCACGCGCGCCAGTGCTGGCGCAAGGGCTTCCAGAGGTTCTTCGCCAGCTCGTGGCACTGGTACGACACCATCACGCTGTGCTTCTTTTACCTGGCGTTCGTCTGCTGGGCCGTGTCGGCGTACGACGTGCGCCACTACGACAACGTGCACCTGGAGCGCAAGTTCTGGCACCAGTACGACCCGACGCTGGTCGGCGAGAGCTTCTCAGCCGTGGCCAACATCCTGGCCTTCATCAAGCTGCTGTACGTGTTCCAGCTGAGCGCCACGCTCGGACCGCTGCAGATCTCGCTGGGCAAGATGATCAGCGACGTCGGACAGTTCCTGGTGCTGTTCGCCGCCGTGGTCGTGTCTTTCTCGTCTGGTATGAACAGATTGTTTGATTACTACAAGGGCATGGTGCGGAAGCTGGGGAACGGTGACGAGGCGGTGCAGATGCACTCGTTTGTGAACCTGCGCTCGGCGTTCCGCACCCTGTTCTGGACGCTGTTTGGACTGTACGATCTGGAGTCGGTGACGGTAGTGATTGAGAACCTGCCGGGCGGCAGCGCGGCGCTGCCGGTCATCAACTGCCACGGCTTCACCGAGGCCATCGGATACATCCTGTTCGCCGCCTTCCACGTGCTCTGCGGTATGATCATCATGAACATGCTGATCGCCGTGATGACGTGCACGTTTCACGAGGTGCACGCGTCGGCCGACACCGAGTGGAAGTTCGCTCGCACACACGTCTGGATCACGTTCATCCTGGAGCCGGCCATGCCGCCGCCCTTCAACCTCATCCCGAGCGTGGTGAGCGTGTGGCGCTGCTTCAGCTGGCTGGGGCACGCGATGCTGCGCACGGCGGGCCACACGGCGCGCTGCGACTCGCGCCGCTGCTGCTACCAGGAGGAGGAACTGGCGCCGGCCGACACAGCCGCCCAGTACCGGCTGCTGGTGGCCGCGCTGGCGCAGCGCTACTTCCGCGACCGGGCCGAGCAGGGCGCCGGAGAGCCCGCCACCGTGGCGGAGGTCGGCGGCATCCTGGCCGACGTGCAGGCGCTCAAGGCCGAGGTCAGGGACCAGGCCTGGGGCAGGGCGCGCTCCCCGGCGGAGAGAGCCGCAGCCGCCTCCGTGGCTTCCTGATGAACCGAGCGACACTTGGGAGACGTGTGCGAGTGGAGTTGATCACTGTTTGGTCGTGGAGTGAACTTCAGAGAGGTTGTTCACGGTGTCTCTAGGTATGTGCGTGAAGTTTGCCTATGGTGTCGCTCACATTTCACCAAACTGTCAATTTCAAAACCGTGCGTAACGTCACTCCGCAATGGATGAGATCGGAAGGTGCCAGACTTGCTGTTTTTTCCGGTGGTGGAATCTGGTGCATGTAAATAAGAGGAATATGTGTGTCTGTGTTATTAAATCAACTTTTGATTTGGTGTCCGAGATAAAAGGGAGGATAGAATGTGAATTATCTGCATCTTAAATATTTGCGCTAACGGCTTAGTGGTCAGCAGTTGACAGCTTTGGACTATGATAGTGGAAACTAGAATGCACAAATAATGGAATGGTTGTAGGCATTCGGCACTGGTATACCGAGCCTGCAACTTTGGTTTATATAAAGAAGTCCTTGTCTTCACAAAATCAAATAGTTGTCATCGGATTTCAGCTTATTGACAATATGACAGCGGGCTCGCCCATGAAATCGTGTGAACAATTCAACACCGCTGTATCTAAATTTGGCGTCACAGGCACGGGCCGGAAGGCGGTGCTGCATAGTCTATCTGAACATAACGGTACCCTCGAGACTGGGTTCTACCACACCTGAGGCGATCCGGAGTAGGAAAGCACTGGCCTAGATTAATCTAGCCAGTTTCATCTGCATGCAGTCGGACTGATTCAGCCCATACGCAATAGCAACTTTTGTTTTGTTTTGTTATAAGACATAAGTGATAAGGAAAACGCGAATGACATGTTTTCGTTGTATGTCATGCTCGTAAACCGTGCTGTTTGCTGTTTGCTGGTTACGGTTACGTAGCGGTATCTCCTAATATAGTGGAAGAACCAAGAAGAACCACATGAGCTCCTGGCTAGTGGCTAATGTAAGGCACCGGAAATTGAACACTTTTTCACTTATTGGGCCGGGAACTCAAATAATCTTGTTAAGCGACCCCCGAATGGCCTCGCCGGTGTACTCAATGTCTAAGCATGCCAGTAAATTCCGCGAAATTGTTATTTTATTCTGTCCAGGCCAAGTCCATGGCTCTAGAGAACCACTTCATGCATCAACTTAATTACATATTTGCTCGTGGCCATTGTTTGATCATGCCGTGAATACTGTCGATACATTTGCGCACCTCTCGGCCTATTATATTCCAATTCATTTTCTTTTTCTGAACGTTCAGGCGACGGGAGTGTGACTGCTCGACTTTGGGCGATGAGACTGGCATCATGATGAAGTGTCCGGGCGGCGAAGATTGCCGGGATAGCGCGGCTGCTTCTGGGCCGATAAATCAGCTGGGAAACAACGCCACCCCGAGCGGTCCGGGCGGGCCGGGCGGGCCTCTTGACCGGGCCTGGACAGTCTCGGATCGGGCAGGCCTCTCACTTCTCTTCCTGTGGGTGTCGATGTTCTCGCTGCGGGTGTGAACACGGCGGGAGAGATGGAATGATGAGCTCGACGCCACCGCTCGGCGTTCGAGGAGCGCGGCGGTGGGGAATGCTAGCGACCCGTGACGGAGGGGGATGGTGGGGGACTAGATGGGGACGGTGGGAGGGCTAGATTGGGATGGTGGGGCAGGGGGCCGGTTGATGAGGCAGAGTTGGTGGAGAGGAACTCGGGGCGCTGAAGTAACACATTGAAAGCTGGTGAAGAATAACATAAACAGGTGCGCAGCGAGCCATCATTGCTGCAGCATCAGGTGCACGGTGGGTTTAAATGAGTAATGATAACTCATATGATATATCGACAAAAGTTTATATGGAGCTGCCCACATCAATCACATGCAATGTTGAGTCTGTGGCCCCAAGTGCCCTAATGCGTTGTTGTAGGGTGAATTATCACTAACAGAGCATGGCGTCAGCCGCCGTTGCTTCAGCCATTAAACCACACTTTTTAAATAATGTAATTGGATTTTCATCACCCGAATCACCGTCTAACCCTTCTCTGAGGCGCCATTTGTGTGAGAGTTTGTCACGCCGGAAATCCGGAAAGGTACTTAAGCACAAGTGATAGCATGTTATTCATTTGGGTGAAGATTATCCTGAAATTAATGAGCTACCTAGGTAACAAATACCACCACTGAGAGGTTCCGTCTTTGAAAGTGCAACTGAACTACTCTGGCCACCACAGCCCGCAATCGGAGCTCTATTGGGCCCCGGTCCTTCCAATCAGCCCACTTCGCTCTGGATACGGCAACCAGAGGTGCTAGATCGACACAATGATGACGCTGAGGCAGCGCAGCCGCGACGAACTTATCAAACTGGAAAACTTCTTGGGTGGGGTTCATGTGGACAATGAGCGAACTTGAAGACCTTGGTCCTGATGATATGGCTTACACTTGGCCATGCGTATGTGCTGGCATCACTTGGGGTTTCGAATGAAGGCGCTTACTTTTGCCATCCTTGGTTTCGTTCCTAATCTTTCGAGAGAAAATTATCATGGGTGTTTTGCCTGGTGAACGTCTTTACATGCCTGGCTGGTTTGAGCCGCACATATCCATAAATCCAATCGGGTTATAGAATCATGTACGAGCGAAATAAAACGAATCACTGATGTTGGTAGCTAGTTAGTTACGCTAATGCACGGTGATTAGATATTTAGGTAGGTATGTTATCTACATATGTGACCTTGGCTGGTGCGCTGTTATTCCTGGGCTCGACACCATGGTGTAGGTTTTCTATAGTCTTGGGTAAACATATGGTACTTGGGTAACACCTATGGTAAAAACAGCTGGCATACGAGTATAGCGCGACTCATACCCATCGACAGGTGAAACGAGCCAATCACATTTATAAGCGCTTACTTCCTGTTCACATTTCAATTCCCTGTGTAGAAAAATTCCTTTGTCCCTGTCAGTCGCCAGTCGTGACTTCCGGTTCAAATGCTCATTCTAGGGGCATATTGAATTGTTTATGAGGCATTTATGCCCCGTGAGGACATCATATGACAAACTTATAGGTAATTTGAGAGCCTATTAAGACCTTTTGCGATCGTTATAATCTGCTTTATTGTCAAAGGCAGCTGCGTCAAATGTCTCATTGTGCTCTGCATTTTATTGCCACGATTGACGCAACCAATTATTACGTGTGATTGCTACTGATCACGGAATGCTTAACGCTTAATAATTATATAACAATATATATTTCTAAAGATTTACTATATTTTCATGTACAGGGTGTTTCACTAAAAGTGTCAAAAAGTGAAAGGTCATAATGCACATGAGAACAATCTTTTCTAAGGAAATTTGCATATCATTTCATCCGCAATTGTTGGACATTTGAATATATAACAGCGATATCACCGTCACTCAAACCTATTCCACATATCCGCCCCTTCTTTTGATGCACCGTTTCCGCACGTGTCCGGAGGTGGCTCACAGCCCGTTTTCATATTCAGCGTCCAGACTGTCGGCAAAGCCTTGAATTGTGCTCTTCAGCTCCCGAAGTGATGCGACTTGAGTCTTCCTCAGCTCTGCGAGAGCTACTTGACCAAAACCAGAAGTCTAGCGGTGACAGATCGGGGCTTCGCGCTGGCCATGGGGGCGGGCGGTGAGGCAGCTGATTATTTGGCCCAGGAACTTCTGGTCCAGCCAGTTCCTGGTGGCTACAGCCGTCACAGTGGTTGTTTTTGATAACTTGTAAGGCCTTGGCTATTTCTGATGTTGAAATTAGCTTCTTGTTATCTTCAAAGGCCCTCAAAAAGACCCTGACCTTTTCAACGGTTTCCGCCGAGAGGTGGGGGGCGACCCCGCCTTTTTTTGGACTGGAACTGACATCGAAGGAGCCCTTTTAAACCTCTTAAGAAGCCCTTTTAAACTTTTATAATCTGGAACGTAGCGAGGTGAGAGAGTAAAACGTTTCCTGAAAAGTCGGCATACCGTTTCAATGTTTCTGATGGCACCAAATGTAAGTGTAATTCACCCCTCCTGTTGAGGTGTAAATAACCTGTTCTTGGTCTGTATAAGGAAAAAAAAACGACTAGGAACTTTGGCCTCCTGCCCTCGCTCCGTATGGGTGTAAAATACATCTTAAATGGACAAAGCATAAATGTCCAAAAATTTGCAACAAAGCCACATGCGCAACCACGTGATTTGCATATTTTATATATCTTTAATAAGCATTTACTTTTTGACACTTTTAGTGAAACACCCTGTAGGTAAATCTTTTCCTTTGTGTGCTTACCTACTGCTCCTGCTGCATGAGCATGCCTACTAGGTGCGTTCAATAAGTAAGTTCCGGAGAGCAATTACATACAGTTCACGCGGTCTACGCACGTGATTTTTTCAGGGATTAGAATTCAGACCTTTATGTCGAAGTGACCGCATTTTCAGCTTCTTATTCCATTTCTGTGACGATATGGAGCAGATCAAATAACACCATTTTTTTAGACTGCTTTAGAAATGGCATCGGCCACCCGAGAGAATCAACGTTCAGTCGTTCAGTGATAAGATTCCTAGCTATCCAGGGCTAGCCGGCGGCTAACATCTACGCCAACTTCGTAAATGTGTACGGGAGCCATGCTCTTAGTGATTCCGCAGTTCGGAAGCGGAAGAAAAAGTTTGGGGAGGGGAGGGAGAGCGTGCGCGACCTGGCACGTGCAGGCAGGCTGAGGACGATGGTCACAGCTACTGACGTGGCCAAAGTGGAGGAGATGGTGATGGCCAACAGAAAGATTACTGTCCAGGCGATAACAGAAAGCCTAAACATAAGCCTACGCCAGGATCATTAGAGACCATCTCCTGCCAGTAATCGCCAGTTGCCGCCCCCGAGAAGGCCCGTGGTCGGTTCATCCTCCACCAGGATTTCGCGCCTCCTCACCGTGCCCTCGTGGCGAGGGATGCCCTGCAGGCAGAGGGCATCGAGGTGCTCTAACACCATCCCTACTCTCCAGACGTTGCACGCAGTGACTATTGGCTGTCCGCAGCTCCGGGGCCGGAGGTTCGGCTCGCGGTCTGCACTCGGGTCTGCTTTTTACCAGTATGGCGAAAAGACCCTCACTCAAAGCTTCCGTGCGGCCATCCGGGACCTGGCCAAGCGATGGGAACGATGCGTTCGCCTGCAGGGCGAGTTCGTCGAGCCGTGAGCCATGTTTGGTTGAGATGTGTCAAAAAATAAACGAGTTATATCAAAACGGAACTTACTTATTGAACATACTGGTATGTCGCAGGCTGACGCGCCAAGGTCTAAAAAAACACTGCAGAGGGTCGCCGCGCCGAAATTCACAACATTTGAGCTCGGCGTCATTTCACC